CCTTTCGTTCATACCCGTGGTACATTCCCGGTTGCCTGGCTGCCACTCTTCTCACGGCGGAAAATCAAAAAGCTTTCGGTTAGGTAGATCTTCGAGGACCCTCGTCCTGCTAGTACCTGACGGCAACTCTTCAGCCTCAGTTTCAATACATCGGTGCTGGCATCGAGCTCGAGTGTTGCAGCAAGAAGCAGGCAGGTGGGTGCCGTCGACTTGTTCTCTCTCTCTCTCTTCCTTTCTATCTCTTCCGTCTTCCTCTCTTCTTCTACTCGATACAACTATTCCCCACCTACCGTCTCGTAGAACCTCTTCCTCCGCTCTTCTCTCCTCCCCCTGCCGCGTCTTGCGTCCGCTTACGCTCTTTCGTCCGATCGTTGCCGACTTGGCAATTGTATATATCCTCGATGTATCGATGTATCGGTAATCCATAGCGAGTTACCCACGTTCTTCTCCATATACCATGGTGCGGCCACCCTCCTTGCCTCTCTCTTCTCGTATCTCTTCTTCTTCCGTGCCAACCAACGCAGTACCGACCCATCCTTAACTTAGACACTCCGGCAATCTTTCCCTCGATCTTCCTATCGATGTCCTTTTCTCCATCTCCCGCTATCGTTCACAGCGTCTTCTTCCCTCGCTCTCGGCTTGTCGTTTACGCTCTCTCCCTCTCTCCACTCGCCCTCCCTCCTCTCTCTCTCTCTCTCTTTTCCCGTCGCACACTTTATATATCGGTCGCCCCTCTCTTTCTCTCCCTCTCTCTCTCTCTCTTTATTCCCATTCCCATTCTCATCCTCTTGTTTTGGTCCAATAGTCAGTCGCCGGTCTGATCGATGATACGCCAACAGCCAGCACTGCGCATGGCCGACTAAATACAAACTCACTCCTTATTATACCGGGTGTGCCAATAANTGGTGGCGGGCCAGAGAATGGGAGAGGAGGAGAAGGCGAGAGAAGCCCAACTCCGTCGGAGTTTCTCGCTCCTTCGAGTCGACGAATGCCACCATAAAGGATCCTCTCTTCCTCCTCCGCGTTCCCGGTTGCTTCTACCGCTGCTTCTGCAATGCAGGACCCTCCCCAACCACCCCTGCCTTCCCTGCCTTGTGTATATCCTTCCAACTCTCTGTCTTCCTTCTCTCGGTAACCTATCCCACGATGCCGTCCAAGGATAATCCCGATTCCCGATCCTCCAACATTTTCCATCTTCGATTCCAATCCAACCAAATTTTTCCCTCTCCCTCGTCTCGTTTTACGAGCTACGCGCTCGAGACGAGCGCGTGTGCATCACACTTGCAACAACTTTCTCGTATTATCGCTCGGCCGTGAAGCAATCCTCCGTGTTCGCTCCGATCCTATTATGAGGACCAAACACTTCCCGATAGTTTATTCCAAGGTTTCTTACGAACGAGTGGCAGTTTGTTCCGCCACGTGGAAACGACGAATGCTTCCAACGAGGGAAAAAAGTGGAAGGACTGTCGAGGATAGGAACGAGGATTGAACGAACGATGCCTCGAACCCGGAGGAAAAGTCGTTTAAACTCGATTCTTGGCGTCGGTCACCGTGAACGGGCCGGTTATCGCCGTCGTCGTTGAATGCAATCGCTGTCGCGAGGAAGCCTCTTGAAAATCGAATAACAGCTTTATGATCACGGCACAGTCATTTACGCGTCAGTGAATGGGACGACCGGCCACCGATCAATGAGAGATTTCCCTTCAGAATTTTCTCGCGCCACTATAGCCATTCGCGCG